AATTGCTATACTGGTAAATACTAGCACATATTTAACAACAACAATAAGAGAACATAAAATGTACATAAATTCTTCCAGAAAACTGAAAAAAAAAAAAAAAGTAATAGTTTCTGTGAGGCTAGCATTATAGTGAAAACAAAACCAGAAAAAGATGTTATAAGAAAACAAAACTACAGACTGATATCCCTCAACATAGATGCAAAATTTCTAAATTATGAAATAATTCACTATTATAAAAATAAGGGTCAGGTCATAAATTGGGAAAAATATTATTTGCATATCATATATCTGATAAAGATTCTGTATTCAGAGTATATGAAGAATCTGTGTGTCAAGCGTCCAACTCTTGATTTCGGCTTAGGTCATGATATCAGTGTTTTGAGACTGAGCCCCACAGTGGGCTCCATACTCAGCGCAGAGTCTGCTGCTCTCCCTCTGCTTCTCCCCCTGCTCACACTCTCTCTTAAATAAATAAATAAAACCTTTTTTTAAAAGAAACTCAGTAATAAAACAATCAAATTAAAAAAATGGGCTAAGGATTTGAACTGACTCTTCTGTAATGTAGATACATGAGGGAAAATATGCAAGTGAAAAAACTGGTCAGTATCATTAGTTGTTATGGAAATGTTACATAAAACTACAGTGAGATACCATTACAATACCTAAAATTAGGGGTGCCTGGGTGGCTCAGTCATTTAAGCATCTGCCTTCAGCTCAGGTCTTGATCTTGGGGTCACAGTATTGAGCACCATGCTGGGCTCCCTGTTCAGCAAGGAGTCTGCATCTCTTGCCCCTCGAACCCCTGGCTCATGCTCTCTTTTTTTCTCTCTCTCTCTCTCAAATAAATAAAATGTGTTTATTTATAAATTATATATTATATATTATATTATATTATATCATATATTATATATTTAAAAATATCTAAAATTAAGAGAACTGATTATAACATGTTTATGCTGGTGAAGATGTGGAGAAAGTAGAGCTTTGATACAGGTTCAGCAGGAATATACCATGGTACAATGGTACAACTACAGTGAAAAACAGATCATCAGTCTTAAAACATTGAACATACCTATCATATCATCCGGACATTCCACTTCCAGGTATTTACCCAAGAGAAATAAAAGCAAATATACATACAAAGAGCTGCATACAAATGTTCATAGCAGCTTTATTTGAAACAGATAAAAACTAGAAACAACCCAAATATCCAGGAGAATGCAGAAATTGTATTATATCCATATATTCTACAACATGAATGTATCTCAGAATCATTGCGTGAAAGAGAGCAGACAAAAATGAGTACATGTGTATGATTTCATTTATATAAAACTCTAGAAAATGCATTTAATTGATAGTGACAAAGTTGATCAATGGAGGAAACAGTAATAATGGGAAAGTGATTAAAAAGAGGCATGAGAAAACATTTGATAGATATGCTCATTAACTGGATCATGGTGATGTTTTCACTGTGTATACATTTGTCAGACTATATCAAACTATACCTTTTAAACATGTACAATTTACTGTATTTTAATTATATCTCAGTATAGCTGTAAAATTTCTTTCTTGTAAAATCTTCTTTGAAAAATCCAGTAGATCTATCATCACTTGAAAACACACAGGAAGGACAGTATTTTAGTGGTACTTAAAGCATACAGTGGTACTTAAAGATACATAGATATGAAGACAAGCCCATAGCTAACATCATACAAAGTGGTGAAACTTAAAATCCTTTCCTCTAAGATCAGGAATGACAAGGATGCCCATTCTCATTATTTCTATTCAACACAGTACTGGAAATCCTAGCCAAACCAACCAGGTAAAAGAAATAAAATGTATCCAAGTCAAAAAGAAAGAAGTAAAATGATCTCTTTGTGTAGATGATATAGAAAACCCTAAAGACTCCACCAAAAGTGCAACTAATACATTAATTCAGTAAAATTACAAGATACAAATTCAACATACAGAAATCAGTCATGTTTCTATACACTAACAATGAACTATCTAAAAGAGAAATTTAAAAATCAATCCCATTTACAATAGCAACAAAGGCAAATAATACTTAGCGATACATTTAACCAAGGAGATGAAAGACTTCTACACTGAGACCATAAGACAGTTATGAAAGAGACTTACAAAGACACAAATAAATGCAAAGATATCTTATGATCTTGGATTGGAAGAATTAATACTGTGAAAATCTCTATACCAACCAAAGCGATCTAAAGATTCGATACAATCCTTATAAAAATTCCAATGGCTTTTTTCAGATATCTATATTTCTATATATCAAGAGTATATATCAAGAGAGAGAGAGTGAGAGAGAGAGAGATCTCCATATCCTAAAGACCTCAAATAGCCAAAACAACTCTGAGAAAAAAAGAACAAAGCTGGAGGTATCTCCCTTCCTCATACAAAATACCTTACAAAGCTATAGTGATCAAAACAGTATGGTAATGTAAAGACAAGAACAAAACAAAAACAAAAACTGGTTACAAAGAACCAGTAGAGCAGAAAGAACAGAGAGTCCAGATATAAATCCAAGCATTTGTGGTCAACTAATTTGTGACAAGAGCAGTAAGAACACACAATGAGATGTCTCTTCAACAAATGGTCTTGAGAAAACTGGATATCCCTATGCCAAAGAATGAAACTGAACCCTTATCTTACACCATTCACAAAAATTAACTAAAAATGGATCAAATATTTCAATGTAAGACCTGAAACCATAAAACTCCTAAAGGAAAACATAAGGGAAAAGATCCATGACTTTAGTCTTGGCAATGAATTCCTAGATAAGACAACAAAAGCCCAGGCAACAAAAGCAAAATAAACAAATGAGACTACATCAAACTAAAAGCTTTGGCACAGCAAAGAACCAATAAATTGAAAAGGCAACATACAAAATGGAAGAAAATATTCACAAAATATATATTGCATAAGGGAGCAATACATACAAAATGTACAAAGAACTCACACAAATCAATAGCCAAAAAGCCCCACAAATAATCTAATTAAAAATGGACAAAGGGAAAAAAATGGGCAAAGGATGTGACAGGACATTTTTTTCCAAAGAAGACAGAAAATTGATCAAATAAAAATGTGCTCAGCATCACTAATCATCAGGGAAATGCATACCAAATCCACAATGAGACATTACTACATAACTGTTAGAATGGCTACTAACAAAAACGCAAGAGATGGGGGTACCTTGCTGTCTTAGTCAGTAGAGCATGCAAGTGACTCTTGATCTTGCAATTGTGGGTTCAAGCCCCATGCTTGAATTGCACTACTGGATATTTATCCAAAGGATACAAACATAGTAATTTGAAGGGGCACCCCACCACAATGTTGATAGCAGCACTATCAATAATAGCCAAAATATGGAATAGAGCCCAGATGTCTATCCACTGATGAATGGATAAAGAAGATGTGATATATAAATACAATGGAATATTACTCAGCCATCAAAAAGTATGAAATCTTGTCATTTGCAATCACGTGGATGAAACTAGAGGATATTATGCTAAGTGAAATAAGTTAGTCAGAGAAAGACACATACCATACGATTTTACTCATGTGTGGAATTTAAGAAACAAAACAGATGAACATAGGGAGAGGGAAGGAAAAATAAGATGAAAATAGAGAAGGAGGCAAACCATAAGAGACACTGAAAACAAACTGAGGGTTGCTGGAGGGGAGGTTGTTGGGGAAAGAGGTAATTGGTGATGGGCATTAAGGAGGGCATTTGATGTAATAAGCGCTGAGGGTTATATACAACTAATGAATCCATTAAATTCTACCCCCAAAACTAATAGAAGTATGTACTAACTACACCAAATTCAAACAAAGAGTTTTAAAAATATATAGTAAAAAAACCTCATATATAAAAAATAAATATTTTAAATTTTGATATTTTACATAAATATAGTAACATATATTTTAAATATGATTCTATACTTCCACTTATTTTTCCAAAACATCAGAAAACCTTTTATAGCCAATGCCAAGATCCATGACTTGAAAAGATATTTTCTAACACAATTTGTATCTTTACATATTATAACATATAATATTAACTCATAGTCATTGAGATAGTCATTTCATGAGTACAAAACCAAAATCTAAATTAGTGTACCTTATTTCACCTTTAGTTGTAAATAGGAATATATCAGGAAAAATGTTAGCAACAATTCTTAAAAACTTAAAACATTAATTTAATCAATTAAAAACTTAAATCAATAAAGTAAATGGAAATCCCAGTAAATGCAATTCGATCTATGCCAAAGATGAACGAGACTTTAACACTATTTTCACAATTCCCAAGTAGCTGTAAGTGTTAAACAAAAAGATATACATATTTATGTTAAATGAGAACAACTAAGGGATAGAGACAGGAAAAATCTTAATCCACGTAACAATGGGAAAAAGTTCAGAGTGGGTCTTATTTCTGTGTCTAGTCATTGGTCCACAATCTTTGTCATTCAAAGTCTAGTCTTTAAAATTTCACTTATCATGATTATTATCCATGAAAGATGTTTAATCTCCTAAATGTCCCTTAGATAATAATATTTATAAAATACATATGTCACTGCCTACACCCACTTGTACCAGCCAAGAAAAACAAGTTAAGTATTTAAGGGGCATTGATGACAAATAATCTGTCACTGTTTAGGTCAGCTCTCTTATTGATAATAATAAAAACTGACATTGACACAACACCATTTGTACAGCAATTTCATATCAAGGCTCCAAACATTTATTCATTAATACTTCCAACATTTCTGTGCATTATTTGGCAAACATTCATCTCCATCTTGCTGATTTATAAAGCAAAGCCCTAACTCATAAAATGACATGAACCTTGTGACTCTATATTTTCTAACTCAGTCCATTTCTATCAGCCAGGACGGAGAGAATATATCTCGCATGAAATAGCTGGGCCGCCCCGGGATAGTGAAATATCCAATTGGCGCTTGGGTCTTATCTATTCCCACCTTTTTATAGGCGATCCAGTCAAACACCCGGTCAATGTCTGTGGCCCGCAGCACTTCCTGTGATACTGGGTGGGAACTGGCCAAGCCATCAAGCAGCATCACTTCATGCAGAACATCCGTCAGAAACCTCTGTTTTTCCTGCAATACAGTAGACGGGGCAATATCATAGGTGGTTCGTGGTTATGACAGAATGTGTGTTCATTGATGATGCTCGTCAGTGGAGACTGAACTCGCAAGGAGAGCCCAGTAAATAAAATGCCTCTAAGTTACTCTGAAATGAAGGTGGTTGATTTGAGTGCAACACGAAACAAAATCAGTGGGCTACAAAGGGCCTTAAATAGATTTTAAAACAGTGGACGGTGCTTTAACAGCGGTTAGAGCAAATTCAGACAGTGGGCACGTATGTGAAACAGACTAAGCTTATATGTGTGTTCTACAGGATCCAGCCCACAGTTCCAGTCCCAAATAACCTTTTTCGTTAAGTTTAACAGAGGAATAAGAACTAAATTTCTGGGTTCCAGTGCCATTTTGCTATTTATACCATTTACAGGTAGTACCATTTCAACAGCTCATTCTCTCTCTCTTGCTAATCTGTCCACTTTTCCTCTGTCCTCCCCCCACCTAATTTTCTCTCTAGTACACACACACACACACACACATATATACACACCATTTATCTTCTTAAAGAACCTCAAGAGACCCCAACAAATAGCAAAAGGCAAATTGACATAAAACTGTAATATCTGTGGATATATATGTGACTTCAGGATAACGAACATAAAGTAGAGCTCAACAGGTATTAATGACCCATTCTCATAAAGTTGTGAAAACAAAGGAAATCATCAGATGTCTATTCTGTGTGATGTTCAGACCTTTGTATTTGCTCTGATAAAAGCTGATTTGTTAGGTTAGAAATAAATTGTAAAGAAAAAGCACTTCTCTGTCGTTTTAAGAAGCCTGCTTTAAAGAAACAGCTAGGGTTTTGTTAACAAAAATGCTAGCAGCTCTTAGTCCTCTGGCCTCCCGCCTTCATTGAGGGAGGAGGGAGAGAGAAAAGAAGTTGCAGGAGATAAGGAGGGCTAAATAGCCCCTAGGTAGTTCAGACTGGAGGAGTATCATTACCGAGATTAAAGACTGCAACACTTAAATTGCTATAGCTAATTTTGAGCTCACTCCTGGAGCCTTCTAGTTCTGAGCCAGCAGATAAACAGTGTGTTATTTCTGAGTGAGTTGTAATTTCAAGCTGGGAGTACACCAATCCTGGATTTTTACAAAAATGGAAATGGAAAATAAATATGCTAAAAAAGGAATAGTTAACTAGCCATTATATATGTGTGTTCTTTAAATCTGGCTTTAAAGAGGCATCTTACTTCATCACCATTTGTTCAATGATTTAATATGTTTAATCAATAATTTAATTAGTTCTCCAGCCAACTGTATACTATCATGTTTATTTCTAATAGCATATTTTTATACTCTGTGAACTACAGATCTAATTTTTTCAGTCCTTTTTCGGTCTGAGAGTCTCACACCAATGGTCCCACTGAACTGGGATTGAACTGGTCCCAGAAGTCTGCTTCAGACCCTAAGAGCCCATGATGAGAAGTTCAAACTTACAACAAATTGACAAATATGACATAAACTAATACTGTATTTCTTCTCAAATTAAGTTCCAAATTCAAGACAAATTAAGGAGAGTGAGATTGGACCTTGGGATTTAACATTTTAATAGGGTCACCTGGCTGGCTCAGTGGGTTAAAGCCTCTGCCTTTGGCTGAGGTCATGATCTCAGGGTCTTGGGATCGAGCCCCCGAATCAGCCTTCCTACTCAGTGGGGAGCCTCCTTCCCCCTCTCTCCCTCTCTGCCTGCCTCTCTGCCTACTTGTGATCTCTGTCTGTCAAATAAATAAATAAATACATAAAATCTTTTAATAAAATTTTAAGAATAAAAAGGCAGATGGCTTAGATTGAGAGAATAAGAGAAAATCATGTATTTCCAAAATAAACATGTTAATGTTACTCTAAAGCAGGTATGCAATCTTCTTACTCATTCAATTTAAAATGCACATTACAACTTTGATATTGAATTTAATGGGTAGGAACTTGGAATATATCATCATACTTCAACTTGACCAATGAACACTTTTATTTATACAAAATACAAATTAAAGATGTGGTTTCATTCCAAAGAAAAAATAATATTTAATTCTTTAAATCGTGACTGCCCACTACATTATGTAACTCAAACATCTGATCGAAACCACAGTGCAAACTGAACTTAAAATGCTATTTTATTCAAATCTTAATTTTTAATATTTAGCACCAATAAGTATATGGTGATCAATATGAAAATTTAGTGCATGTATCTTGGTTTGCTAACAATATGATTTTTAAATGCTATAAAGTGAATGGCTAAGTAATTACAAAAGTGAAACTTAAAGTAAATGTCTTAAAATGAAATTCTCTTGTTTAAGAATATATAAGTTATACATGATATGTTGCTTCATGCTTCTGAAGGAAAACAAAAACAAACCTTTGCCTCATCAGTAGAATTTCAAGAAACTGCTTAAATTTAGTAATGTTAAGTCATTAGCAAAAGATTCATTTTTGGAGAGAATGACATTGTTTAATTGAGGGGGAAAAAGGCATTAAAAAAGAGGAAAAAAAGAAGAAAAGAAAAGCCTGGCAGAAGAACACTCACAAAATTCAGAAGAGAGAACACTTTAAATTAAGGAAGAAAAAAAGAAAATTCTAGCCAGAGGCAAACCCAATTTAGCAAAACTACAAAGAGTTTCCAGGAGGGAAGCTGCTAATTTTTTATAAAAACCTGTGTCACTATAAAATTAAAAAAAAAAAAAAAAAAACTTAGCTTGTCCATCACCTGCTGGAGCCCTCCCCCACCTTCCTCCACAACTACAATAATAGTAATAGCAACAATTACAAAGTATTGATTAATTGCCTACTGTGAATCTGAGACCGAGAAAGTTTCAAAATAAAGTTCAAGAAATCCTGGCTCTAATGTGATATAAGAGATCAAACAAAATAGTTGGATACAGTGAACAAAATAATGGTTTTCTCTTACACACTAGAAATGCCAAAGGAAATCTGAAGGGGGAAAAAATCTGTAAAATAGATTTATACAAAGTTTAATGAAAGAAATAGAATTTGTTCTGATGCTTGAAGGAACTTTAAAGTTGTGTGTGTGTGTGTGTGTGTGTAATAATATATTTATGGTGCATATCTAACAGTTTTATTCTAGTTCATATTTTAAGGTCACCATGATAAGCTATTCTATCACTTTCAAAAAGCAGCACAATAAGGTAAATGTGGAACTTTAAAATTTGTTTAAATAAGTTTAATGTTAATAGTAAGAATAAATCCTACCACTCTAACATAGACCCTTCTTGGAGTTGTTGCATCTGTGTCTACATTTAAACTGTTCAAATAATACTGAATATATCATTTTGTATTGAACTATTTTTAAAAATAAATTATATTTGAATTTTTGGAGAATAGTGAAAAGACTTTTTAACTAGGTAAAGAAAGTATGAATAAATTCGGAGTTGAGAATAACACATAGAAAAAAAGAAAGGCTCCCTTATTTTTTTTTATTCGTTCATTTAACCAATGTGTATTAAATTCCTCCTCTGTGCCAGATACTGTGCTATGTCTGGGGAGGAAATATATGACAGAGACTTAGATCCTAACCTTAAAGAACTCAAAAGCGTAAGAGAAAGACCGATAAACAGCTAACTGTATTATAATATGATGGATGTTATAAAACACAAAGGATAAAATGATTAATTAGTTCAGAAAAGGCTTCACAGGGGAAGTGACATTAAAGCGGGTTGTTGAAGGATGAAGGGTTACTTAGATGAATGAGGGAAGCAGCTTTTTTAAAAAGGACAACTCCAGGCAGAGAAAACATGAAAAAAAAAAAAACAAAAAAAAAAAAAAACCTCCTCTGTGTGAGTCCTCAGTTACCAAGTGGAAGAGTCTGGTCCTAATAAATAGGCAGTAGCAGGCATAATGACATAATAAAAGTAATGTCGTAGGAAAATTAACTTATCTGTGGTATACAGGGAGGCTTGATGTATGCAGAGACGGGAGGCAGAAAGTGGCTGTTGCGCTCAGAGGGGAGGCGGCGATGATGTATTAGAACAAGGCACTGGTGAAGGACCCTTGTACCTGAGAGATATTTTGAATGAAAAATCCACCAACACAGATACCTCGATGCCCTGGTCCTCTTAGTGGATGATGGAGAGAAAGTATTAAGAGATGACTTGACAGAATTTTTTTAAAGAGTTGGGGGGAAGCTCCTGAAAGGAATGGGAGTCGTGGAAAAAAGTTTGCTTTGGAGGGCAAACTGAAGAAGACCACTTCTACGACATGTTGCTGGAAGGTGACAGTAAACATCTACAAAGCAACATGCTACAAGCACCCGAAAGGAAAGGCCCGCCTCCAAGGAGCATGCGTTAAACAACTTTTGGCAGTAAACTGTAGTCCATTTAAAAATATAAATAAAATCTCAGAATCGAGTCTTTTTTATTATTTCTTACAGTATTAACATTTCCTAGACTGGAGTTTAGTAATACATGTAAAGGGAGTTATTAAGAATTCTTACCGCAGCGTTAGACACACTTGACAAATTACCTTCCTTAACACTTCAAAATGGCTTCTGCCTGGACATGTCAGACTCTAATCCAGCCACAGGCTTGGGGATGCAGGGATGAGCATAGGAAAATAGGAGATACTACTGAAAGGTGGGGTGGGTGTCACCAAGTTTCTACAGGAAGTCTGAGCAGTTTTAGTGAAGAACAATACAAAGCAGTCACTTTGACTCCGTCACCAGCAAAGAAAGAAAAAAAAAAAAAAAAAAAACAGAGACTAATCTGAATCAAGATCAAAGAAAGTCAGATACATCAAACCAGACAAAGATGACAGCCAAGCCTCAGCCAGTTCAAGTTGTGGAGAGGTGCTCATAGGCATGAAAAGAGCAGAAAAAAACAATTCTCAGGGCAGCAGCGGGTTACATCAGAGCAGCCACGAGGACCCAATTTTCTAGGAGGATGGATATGAACACAAATGGCTCTTTGGTATTCCTGGGAGAAAAGGCAGGTACGCGCCTGTGAAGTTGA